GGGAGACGAGAGGGAGGGGATGTATCTACACACAGAGCCGATTCCCCACTGTTGTACAGCAGAAACTAACACAGCACTGTAAGGCAATTATCCTCCAGAAAAAAGAAAGAATAGAGTAGAGAGAAGGTGAGGGTCCCAGATGTCAGAGAGGGAACAGAGGCTCTAAAGAGGTTAAAAAAAAAAAAAAGTCCTGAGAAGCAAAAGCGGCAGACCTACAAACACTATTTATTCAGTTCCTTTGCTATTTAGCTGAGTACACCAGTTCTGGCACCCTGCAAATGTGGAGCGAACCCATGTCTATGGGGAAAGAGAGCACAGCAGACATCGGGTCCCCTCCAGCACCCATCTTCTCCATGTCTCCTCCCCTTTTCCACCAGTCAGTTCCCATTCCCTTTCTATCACTCTCTTGGTCAATCCATAGCGTAAACCCCTGGGTCCCCAAACTGACTAATAATAAGAGTCACCAGGAAACCTTAAATAGCCGCCTCATCTCCACATCAATTCAGATTTAGTAGGTACGTGGCCCAGCACAGGTATGGGTAAAACTGCACCCCGGGTGATTCTAATGGACGGCTCCACCCAACTACCATTAGCTTCAGCTTAGGTTTCACCAAGTATGCCTGTCTGTGCAAAATTTGCCTGGGCAAATGAAGGTCACAGTGGTGTGGCAGATGCCAGACATAATGAACAAATCTATGCCCCAGCAGACTAGGCCTGAAAGAGACTCCCTCCTTGACCAAAATTTAGTCAGGCTCCTCTAAGCCCTATTTTCAGCTAGGCCTCCTTTTCAGCCCTGTCCGTGGCCTGCAGAGAATCCTAAGTCAGTTCAGGGTAATATCCCCCTCACCTGAGATATATGATCACCCTGATATCTAATCAAGTTCTTTATCCCTCATCTTTGATTTCTGTGTTTTTGGCTTCCCTTAATAATAATCCTGTTATTAAGCCAGTTTAGCAAGAATTCCCTCACCTTCAGTCTGCTTTAGCGTCCCTGGTGGCTCAGATGGTAAACAATCTGCCTGCAATGCAGGAGACTCAGATTCAATCCCTGGGTCAGGAAGATCCCTGCAGAAGGAAATGGCTACCCACCTCCAGTATTCTTGCCTGGGAAATCCCGTAGACAGAGGAGCCTGGCGGGTATTGGTCCATGGGGTCCCAAAGAGTTGACACGACTGAGCGATTTTCACTTTAAATATTTTGTCTTTGTCAGCTAGGGCTGCTGTAACAAGCTACTACCAACTGGGTAGATTAAACAACATTTATTTCTTACAGTTTTGGAGGCTGGAAAGTCCAAGATCAAGAGGTTGCCAGATTCAGATTCTGATGAAAACCCTCTTCCTGGCTTGCAGACATTCTTCTTCTCACTGTATGTGGTAGAGGGGTGGACGGTGCTCTGGCGTCTCTTCCTCTTCTTGTAGGGACACTAATCCCATCATGAGGGCCTCATCCTCAAGACCTCATCTAAACCTAATCACCTCCCAAAGGCCCCACCTCCAGATACTATTACAATGGGGATTAGGGTTTCAACATATGAGTGGGGGAGGCACAAACATTCAGACCATAGCAACATCTAATCAAATTCCTCCTAGTAATTTTGCATCCACTTACCCCCTCACCCTGCTCATTGGCTATAAATACCCTCTTATCCTTGTTATATTAAGAATTGAGTTCAGTCTCTCTCCCGTGTTGCAATAGTCTTGAAGAAAGTCTTCTTTCCATTTTAACAAGCCTCAGAATAACTGCTAACAGGTCCTTAAGGGAAAAAACTACCTCTGCCAGGCACCAGGACTCCACATAGAAAACTATTCTCTAGCTAGTCAAGGCCTGCTTCACTCCATTAAACGGGACCCCAGTGGCTCCACCCAGGTGCCTAATATATAATCAGGAAAGACTCTGCTAAGGATTGACAGTCCTTGGTGGGCATTTGTTTGCTGTATCTGTGAGCAAAGTTATGAAATTCCCATCATTCAAACAAGCATTTACTCCAGCTCTTGCCATATGCTAGGAAACTGGGGAATAAAACTAGGCCCCTTTGCTCTCAAAATTCATAGAAAAGCAGGGAAGGCAGACAAGTAAACAGATAAGTACAGCACACTTGAGAGTTGTGACCAGCTCTTCATAACCGTTTGCTGGAAGGTGGGGAGCCAGCTATTGTGATGAATTGGCACAATCTCCCTTGGATCACACCTCTGAGGTGATGCCTTCACATTGTTTACACTGCAAAGCTGTTCCTACTTCCTACCTTTCTTTCTACAACATCATCCCAGGGCACAACTTTCCCCCAGGGTTTCCTTCTAACTCCCAGTACATTCACCATTTCATGGCTAACCTCTGCCTACAAGATAAAGCTCAAATTTGTTAGCCCTCCGTTTCAGGCACCCCATGGTCCAGAAAGGATGGTTTAATCCCCATAAGCATCAGCAATCAGCAAGGCATGCTGGACACCTAGCTCAGGAATTTAGAAGACAAGGCAGTGCACTTTGCCCTGGGACATGAGGTGCAGCGGGAAAGATGGCCACCCGCTGGCCCATCATGCACTGCACTGCATGAAAAACCTGGTGCTAAACCATTCGTAGACTACCTGTTTCTGGGTCGGGATTTCATACGTAGCAGGGCAGCTCCCTCACTGTGATCTATTGAAAGTCAGCCCTTTCAATAAGGGTTTGTAAAAAGGATTTGTAAAAAACACAAGGGTTTGTAAAAAAAAAAAAAAAAGAAAGAAAGAAAGAAAGAATGAAGGAAGGAATAATTTTAAAATAAAGAAGAAAGAAAATAATAAGTTATTTTTTAAACTATATTAGAAGGCAAGGCACTGCAGAACATTCCCTGATTTCTGTGTCTATGTTGTCCTCGCTGGACCTTGGCCAGTATGGTGGAGGGCGGGGGTGGTGGGTGTTGCTGTAGGGACTTTCTAACTCCAGGGGAAAGAGAAGCACTGGGCTGGAAAGGAGAAGCTAAAGAAAAAAAAAAAATAAGTGAGGCGTAAGATAACCCACAGAAGCTACTAATGCTGTCAACACCTATAACCACTGCAACTCCATGACAGCACATCATACCAGCTGTGGTGCCTCCCTTCCTAGCAACCAAACTTCTCTCCCTTCTCCCAAAAGCAAGGGAGACAGGAGGATGGGTTACTAGAAACTTTAAGAAGTGGAAAGATAGTCTGATATCTGGGATTGTAGTCAGGCACCACTCAAACACTACCTTGCAAAGAAACCTTGAGGCCTCTCTCAGTCTCCATCTCCTCACCATTAAAATGGGGATGTGGACTTCCCTGGCAATCCAGTGGTTAAGACTCTATGCTTCCAGTGCAGAGAGCCCAGGTTTGAGCCCTGGTCAGGGAACTAAGATCCCACAAGCCATGAATCGTGGGGGAAAAAAAACAAAGAACAAAAAAAATGGAGATGATACCGTCATTCTCCCTTCCTCCTAGATAGCCATGCCATGTCCTTGTCCAGGGGATTTTCCCAACCCAGGGATCAAACCGGGGTCTCTTACGTCTCCTGCATTGGCAGGCAGGTTCTTTACCACTAATGCCACCTAAGAATAAAGACAGACCAAGGGCTAAAAAAATGCTTTATCAACCTCAGCGGGTCAATCGAGCGTGAGAGCTTGTTATGACTATTCAGATGGGCCTTCTAGGCATTTTGAAAAGGTTTTCTTTTTTAGATTTATTTTTTATTGAAGTAACATTATATAAGTTTCATGTATACAACATTATTTTTCTACTTCTGTATGCCCTACAGGATGCTCACCACCAAAAATTTAGTTTCTGTCACCTTACAGTTGATCTCCTTTACCCGTTTTGCCCTCCCCCTCACCCTTCCCCTGTCTTGTAACCACTATTCTCTTCTCTGTAGCTATGCCTTTGTTTTTCTTGTTTGATTTTTTTATGTTCCACATACATGTGAAATCATACAGTATTTGTCTTTCTCTGTCTGACTTATTTCACTTAACATAATACCCTGTAGGTCCATTCATGCTGTTGCAAATGGCAAGATTTCATTCTTTTTATGGTTGAGTAATATTCCACAGTATATATATATATATATATTCCACTGATATATATATATATATATCACATCTTCTTTATTCATTCATCTGCCAATGAGCACTTAGGTTGTTTCCATATCTTGGCTATTATAAATTATGCTGAGATGAACATAGGGGTGCATATATCTTTTTTAATTAGCATTTTTGCATTCTTCAGATAAATACCCAGGAGTGGAATTGCTGGATTGTGTGGTAATTCTATTTTTAGTTTTCTGAGGAACCTCCATACTACTCTCCATAGCGGCTGCACCAATTTACATTCCCAGCAACAATGCATGATGGTTCCCTTTTCTCCACATCCTTGCCAACACTTGTTGATTTTTGCCTTGCGAGGTTTGTAACAACACACATGAGGGCAACAGGGACAAGGAGAGAGGACAGCACTGACTCAGACACAGGCTCTCTGAGTCCCCTCCCCCCTTGGCACTGGGTACTTGGTGGGATAAATTGCTTCGGCCACCACCCTCCCTCACCTCCTGTTGACATGACAGCAAAGCACCTGCTGTATCAATCATAGAAGCCAAGACTTACCCACAAATAGCCATTCCGTAACCCTCCATTCTTTTTGAAAACTGATCATTATCATGAAGTCCTGGTGCTAGCATGCCCTGAGAAATATCCATTTATGAAAGGCATTGTGCCGCAGAAGAGCTTTTGCAAGCCTTCTTTCCAACTGAATTTGAACCAGCAGACAGGACCCTCAGGCTAAAGAGAGAAGTAACTGGAGTGTGTCTGGCATATTTGCAACTTTTCAGCAAACTACTCCCAACTCATTGAAACATCCCCACCCTTGACTCAGGGCCCTGGGGTGGGGGGGGTGGAGGGGCAACACTCTGCCCCACTGACATTGACTTGGCATGTTGGCCAACAAGAAAACATCACACTCTCACTTTTCTTGTTTGTTTGTTTGGCTGCACTGGGTCTTAGTCGCAGCATGCAGGATCTAGTTCCCTGACCAGGGATCGAACCCAGGTCCCCTGCATTGGAAGTACAGAGTCTTAACCACTGGACCACCAGGGAGTCCCTGCACTCTCACTTTGAAGGGGAGGAAGCATCGCAGACTTCCTGCAAGGTCCAGAGGGAGATTTATTCTAGGGGTGGAAGGACATAGAGTTTTGTCCATTGCCCTATAGATAGCCACCTGCTAATAAAGAGGATCCTACTTTGTTAGGCCTCTGAAAACTCACAAAAATCTCCTTTGGTTATCACTGTCCATCACTCAGCAGCTGTCCCCAGTTGTGAGGAATTTTGTGGTATTGCCTATAAATCAGTGTAGCAAAGGAGAGCTGCTGAAGCCTTGTATTCTGTGACTCTCTTTGGAAGCTCTTTTGTTTCTTCTCTTCCTATAGGTAGTACATGGGACTGATTTGATAAGGGCCAAAGTCTCGAGACAGAAGTAGCAAGGGGCTTAACAACCAACACCCCCCTGGCATCTTTCCTTTCCCTGCCATGACTTGAGGCTTCTAGAGGGGTCTGCAGGCTTTCACGCACAAAGTCCTGAGCTTTGTGACTTTTCAAACATCAGGGCATCAGCAGGGGTCTGAGGTCAGGTGAGATTGGTTGGGGCAGTGGAGGGGGCAGCGGGGTGAATTAGCAGATGAGGCTTAGGTCAGAGCTTTTAGAAAGGCTGAAAATGCTCTCCTTTCACCAATCAAGCTAAAAAAAGAGAGAGAGAGAGAGAGAATGGGACAGAAAATTGGAAAATTAAGTGGAGACCAAGCCAGGAACACAGGGAGCTATACTCATATAGTTCTTTGAGAGGCCCCTACCATTTAAATGCCTTTTAGCCATTTAAAAGCACAGAATCTAGCTGAGTGCTACACAATGTAACCCTCTGTAATGATGGAAGTGTGTTATAAATGCACTATCCTATAGTGGTAGCCACTGGCCACATGTGGCTGTTAAGCACTTGAAATGTGGTTTGTACGACTGAAAAACTGAACTTTAAATTTTATTTTTTAAATAATTCAATGAATTAAAAATTGTTTAATTCATTTAAATTTCGACTTAAACAGCTACATGTGGCTAATGGCTACCATGGACCAGCACTGGTCTAGAGTTACCAAACTCTGGGTTCAAATCCCAGATCTGCCTCTTATTAGATAGGAAACATTACCAAGTTATTTAACATCTCTGTGCCTCAATTTATTCATCTGCAAAATGGGAATAATAAGGATTCTCACAGGACTGTTGTGAGGATTAGAGGAATTAATATGTATAAAGTGATTAGAGACGTGGCTAGCACATCATAAGTGCTGTATATAATTTGTTTTTCCACATAGAGATGCAGAGTGACATTCCCATAGCCACTGAGAGGCCTCTGTAGAGAAAGAAAAAGGCCCTTCTCCGCTACAGAGATAACAGGTGGAATTCACTCATACTTCTTACGCCAGAAGAGATGCGATTCAAATCATGGTCCTTCTCCTGAAGGGCTGGGAGCAGTGTGTGTGTGTGGTAGGGTGTAGAAGGAAGTGCTCAACCCTAGTCACCATCTGCAACTAGCTCCTCATCACAGATCACAGAATGCTCATTGTCCTTCCAAGCTCATCCCCTTACAGGTATGTGAGAGAATTCAGACAGGTGTCATCATCCTCAGTAGTGGGAGACAGTGAGTTGTAGCCATGGAAATCTGCGTTCGAGTCCCAACCTAGCTGTTAACTTACCAAGGTGAGGTTAGGTGAAGGACTTACCCTCCCTGAACCTCAGTTTCTCCATCTGTAAAGTAGGGGTATATTAAGTTCTCTCTTCCAAGATCGGTGTGATGACTGAAGGGAGTAATGTAAGCAAAGTGCTTAGCGCAGCGCCTGGTAGCTGCTATTTCCTTATCCACTTCTGTATGTTGGAATGAGAACCAATCCAAAGTCAGTAAGTGATTGAGGTCCTTTCACAATCCATCAACAATTCTCTGAACTCAGTTGGGGATAAGGAAGTCTACTTCCTATTGCCCAGAAAAGTGGAAATTAACTGTAAAGCCATTGCTAAAATCCAGTCCTGCTGCCGCCTAGCCCCAGGCCAGGCAAGTGCAACAAAGGGCTGCTGGCTGCTAATTTCTGATGGGGTGATAGAGTGTTTTTTTTCCATCAATCACTCTCACTGTAAGGAACACAAGTGCAAGTTACTTCATTAAAAGCACTCACACATAACTGGATACATTTCCATATTAAGCAGGCAATTGAGACTCTAATCTTTCTATTTTACGTACAGCTGTAATCATTCCTCAGCATCAGAACACTTGTTAAATACTCAGGATACTACAGAGAACTCTCAAACCTTTGCTAAGGACAGGTGATGATTTGAAAAGCGCTCCCATTCACAAGCTGGAGGCAAGCTCCCCTCAACATTCCTTGTACCCTGGTGACCGTGTGTGTAGGCACCCCTGGAGCTCATTCAGACTGACCCAAAGCATAAACAGAGGGATGACTATGGGTCTCTTGGGCCCCTTAAGTTTGGTGTATCTGAGTAGGTAACTATTACATATAGGGAGCAGGTCTCTATTAATCTGTGCACCCTGTTGTTGGTTTGGAAATGGAGCAGAGAAGGGAGACAGAAAATTCCAGTGCTCTGAGCAGCAGTTGTGGGAAGAAAGGTCAGTAGTGTGGCTCCGCAGAGTAAAGGAAGGCAAACTAGTGCCTCTGAGAAACTTGGCCTTCTTACAACACTGTTGCCTCAGATCAGCTCTAAATCCAGCCCCTCCACTCGAAAAATAACTCCAATTCAAAACCCAGTCCAGACAAATACCAAACCAAACAAAGGCATTATAGATAACCTATAGAGATAACCCTATATGCAAAACAGAAAAGAGACTCAGATGTATAGAACAGACTTGTGGACTCTGTGGGAGAAGGCAAGGGTGGGATGTTTCAAGAGAACAGCATCGAAACATGTATATTATCTAGGGTGAAACAGATCACCAGCCCAGGTTGGATGCATGAGACAAGTGCTCAGGCCTGGTGCACTGGGAAGACCCAGAGGGATGGGGTGGAGAGGGAGGTGGGAGGGGGGACCGGGATGGGGAATACATGTAAATCCATGGCTAATTCATTTCAATGTATGACAAAAACCACTGCAATGTTGTAAAGTAATTAGCCTCCAACTAATAAAAATAAATGAAAAAAAAAGAAAACTAGAGACCAGTATCTTTCGTGAACACAGACCAAGAACTGCTCAACAAATTATCAGCAAATTGAATTCAGCAATACATAAAAAGGATAATATCTCATGACCAAGCAAGGTTTGTTCCAGAAGTACAAGACTGGTTAAATATTTGAAAATCAATCAGTGTAATTTACCATATCAAGAGAATGAAAAATAAAAACTGCATGGACATCTCAATTCATACAGAAAAGGCATTTGACAAAATGCAGATCCATTCATGATAGAAACTTTCAGGAAACCAGGAATAGACCAGAACATCCCAACATGATAAAAGGAATCTACAAAAACCCCACATGTGGGTCTTCTGCTTTGCAAGCAGATTCTTTACTATCTGAGTCACCAGAGAAGTCCAGGTAATACATCTATTACTATATGTGTAATACTATTATACTAAATGGTAAAAGACCAAAAGCATTCCCTCTGGGATTAGAAACAAGACAAGAATGTCTGCTCTTACCACTTCCATTCAACATTGTACTAGAGGTTCTAGCCAGGGCAATTAAGCAAAGAAAAAGAAATAAAAGACACAATGATCGAAAAGGAAAAAATAAAGCTGTTTTTATTTACAGACATCATGATCATGTACGTACAGAATCCCAAAGGGTCCATCAAAATTACTAGAACAAACATGTTAGTTTAGCAAAGTCATAGGACACAAGATCAGTATACCAAACTCAGGTTTATATCAACTGGAAATTGAAATTTAACAAGCAGCACAATTTATAATAGCATAACAAAAATACTCATAGATAAATCTAACAAAATATGTGTAAGATCTGTATGCTGAAAACTATAAAATATTGATGAAATACATTAAAGAAGACAAATAAATAGAGAGGCATCCTGTGGAATATTACTTGACAATTAAAAGGAATGAACTAAAGCACGGATGAATCTCAAAAGCATTATGCTAAATAAAAGAAGTCTAACTCAAAAGCATATATACTATATGATTCCATTTCTACAACATTCTGGAAAAGGGAAAACTACAGAAATAGATCAGTTGTTGCCAAAGGTTGGGTATGGGGCAAGGGATTGACTGCAAATGAGCTCAGACAACTTTTGGTGGATAATGAAAATCTTCTGTATCTTCATAGTGTTGGTGTTGGTAAAGACATTTATGAAAACTCATTGAACAGTCCTTTAAAAAAGAGAACTTTATGGTATGAAAATTATAGCTCAATAGGGACTTCTCTGGCAGACCAGTGATTAGGACTCCACGCTTGCACTGCAGGGGATACACGTTGGATGCCTGGCGAGGAACTAAGATTCCGCATGCCACGTGACGCAGCCAAAAAAAAAGAAAGCAAATGATACCTTGATAAACCTGACTTAAAAAACAGGAATCTCTTTTTCTTTTTTTTGCATATAGGGTTATCGTTACCATCTTTCTAAATTCCATATATCTGTGTTAGTATACTGTAATGGTCTTTATCTTTCTGGCTTACTTCGCTCTGTATAATGGGCTCCAGTTTCACCCATCTCATTAGAACTGATTCCATGGCTAATTCATTTCAATGTATGACAAAAACCACTGCAATGTTGTAAATTAATTAGCCTCCAACTAATAAAAATAAATGGAAAAAAAAAAAAAACAGGAATCATATTGTCAGGCGAGTCACCTGACAGTATTTTGAGCCTATGATAGAGAAAGGGCCCACCAAGCTTGTCTTCCATCCTGAAGGCATGCCTGTTTGGGAGGGAATGTCTCACATTCAGGAAGGACTTTCATACTTGCCCTGTTTGTCAGAATGCCAACCTTGGGAGATTTGCCTTTTGATTAACAGTTGATTAATAGTTGATTAACTATTTAGGGGAGAATGGCGCAAATGGTAAACAGTCACCAATGCACAGTAGTTTAGGGC